GTTGCAGGGGCCCAAGGACTTGGGCCATCTTCTACTGCTTTCCCAGGGCATAGCAGAGAGCTGGATGGGAAGTGGAGCAGCCAGGGCTCGAATTGGCGCCCATATGAGATACTGGCACTGCAGGCGGTGGCTTTACCTGCTATGCCACAGCGTCAGTCCCTGCTCCACTTCTGATCCAGCTCTCTGCTAATGAACCTGGGAAAGCAGAAGACGATGGCCCAAGGACTCGGGCTCCTGCACCCATGTAGGAGACCCAGATGAAGCTCCTAGCCATTGCAGGTATTTGGGGAGTGAACCAGCAGATGGAAAATCTATCTCTCCCCCTCTCTCTCTGTAAGTCTACCTTTCAAATAAATCTTTAAAAAAAAAAAAGATTTTTTTAAAAAAAAGTTGTATTGGCCAGAGCCACAGCTCACTTGGCTAATCCTCTGCCTGTGGCACCGGCACCGCGGGGTTCTAGTCCCGGTTGGGGTGCCGGATTCTGTCCCGGTTGCTCCTCTTCCAGTCCAGCTCTCTACTGTGGCCCGGGAGTGCAGTGGAGGATGGCCCAAGTGCTTGGGCCCTGCATCCGCATGGGAGACCAGGAGGAAGCACCTGGCTCCTGGCTTCGGATTGGTGCAGCGCCAGCCATGGCAGCCATTTTGGGAGGTGAACCAACGGAAGGAAGACCTTTCTCTCTGTCTCTCTCTCTCACTAACTCTGCCTGTCAAAAAAAAAAAAAAAAAAAAAAAAGTTGTATTTATATTTAACTCCTTTTGCAGTAACTCCTTAATTACCTTACCTAATGATGAAATAAAGAGTGGATCCACACAAATGGGCCAAAACTCACATTTTATTTGCCTAAAAATACCTCATAGAGTTAGATAAAACAGGTGTATCTCCCTGTTGTACTCTGTAAGTAAGGTATAGATTTACTTGCTGCCTCCCCTTTAATCTCTTCTTTACCAATCAGGAGACTTGAGTCTTCTGCATCAGGAAGTGGCTGCTGCAAAAATACGACATGTTTCTCTGCACTGACAAGTATGCTGTCTCCAGGGATAAGGCAGGAACCTAACCTCAGGCAGCACAGTATTCAAGAGCTGTCTGCAGAGCGTCCACACCCACTGAGCAAGGGCTGGTGAGAAGAGCTTTTCCCAGAGAGGGGTGGGACAAGAAGGCTTCTGGCCATCTGTAACTTATGAAGAGGTGAGCCCTTAGATAAGGGCAGGGCCATGGGGCCACGTTCGCCAATCTCATTCGGCTGCATCTGCAAAGCTCACAGAATTCTGTGATTACAATGCAGGGATGCCTGCAGAGTACCTTTAGGGATGCAGTGGAATGGGCTGGCTCCCTTACAGCGAGTCAGCAGCTACGGCCACTCTTCCCAAAGCCTTTCTCCTCTCTGGAGGACACACAGATGCTGCACCACAATGCTGTGAAAATGGCAAACCTGGGAGGAAGGCAACAGGCCTGTTAGGAAGAGAAAGAAAGCTCATCCTCCACTTAAGATAGCGGAAGTGGAAAGAGCAGGAAAAAAACCGCAACATGCAGCAGAGGTAGCAAGGCTTCCAAGTTCGAGATGAAAAGAATCATTAAAGAACACGCACAAGAAAGTGAGTCACCACCTCTCCTGCCATCAGCTACATGACGGGCAGCAAATTAATCTGTTCAGTCCCTAGCGACAGAGAATGGTATCTAGACGGTTCTTGACATGCCCTAGGAAGGTTACCTTTAAGTAATACGAGGGGACTGGAATAAACCCAGTGAAGTGCTCATCCATCTTCTGTATCAATCACAAAATAATTTTCTCCTGCCAACAAAAAGCTCCTATCACAATGCCACGCTCCAAATAAATGAGCTTGTCCAGATCTGATAGTATCAGTTAAGTCTGAAACTCCTAGTTGCCCCCCCCCCAAAAAAAAAAGAGTTCAAGGGACTAGACCTTAAGTTTTAAAAAAATTTTCTCTTCAAAAATTCGTTGAAGTCAGACCCAAGAGACCTAGGTTGGACCACTCTTTCCCTCTGATTTCAATCAGCAACATGGTATTAAAAGACGCAACAAGTGGAAGAGTTTTTTATCTCTCTTTGTGACAAAGTGTGGGGGTAGTGTAAGAATGTTGGAGGAGAGAAGAAAGAGATATTGTGGAAGTGTTCAGCTTGCAAATGTGGTATGGTGAAGCTTAACAACAGAAACAAAGAATTAGAATTTTACCTCTCTCAATTAAGCCAAACATCTATTTCAGACTGAAGATCTAGATACCAGGTTCTCCTCTGGGCATCTCAGATGACTGAACCCTTCTCATTCAGTATTTGCTGACCATATGCTACAGTTGAGGAGGCATTGTGCAAGGTACAGGCCACCACAAGGCAATCAGTCAACAGAGGCCCACAAAGGAGACCTTCTGCTCTGTGGCAGGTAATAATTGCCTCTCTGCAGTTCTTTAATAAAACAAATAGTCAGATACAAACACTTTATTTATGGTCAGATGGCTTTTCAAATCATCCTCATCAGATGCAGCTCCAGTTCTTTAGGACATGGGGAAAACTCAAAATCATAAATGCTCAGTGTGAGCATTTATGAGAAGGATGAGAAGGAAAGGAAAGCAAGAAATAACTCCAAACTCTATAGAGCGTATTTACTCTTTGGGAGATTCCTGAAAACACAGAGACCATTAATAAGAGAGGAGTGAAATACTCATTAGACTACCTAATATTAAAGTTTATAGTAATAATCCAAACCTCCTCCCCAAAATGCAAAGTTCAAGTCAAATGCATCATATCAAATAACTAAGATTGGGATGAGCATGGATTTGCGCTCCTCCTATCCTGGAATACGAGGAACAGGAGGTTAAATCTTACCATATGAAAGGTGGATTAGGGATTAGGAAAGGATGGCCATGTTTATACAGTGGAATGAGCACTGAGTTGGGGAAAAAAACCTGGATCTTACTTGTAGCTCCTCCTCCAACCTCTGAAAGCATAGGATGTTTCTACTATCTGCAAAAGGGATGTGGGACTTCTAGATCTTAACGGTCTATGATTACTACATGAATTCCTTCTAAAAACTAAATATTTAGGTGGGATTTGAGAAATGGGATAATGTGGGAAAGACTAATTGTCCCTGTATTTCTGATATGGCCTTTACTCCACTCTAAGGGTAGTTTCTGGTCCCTTTATGGAAAACTCATAGGAGCGGAACTCGTAACCCAGAAGTCAATTCTAATTACTTACTGAGGTAGCTGAGACACAAAATGGCAAGACTGCTTCTAGGGTTAAAATTTTCCTAAGAGCAAACACGCAACAAACAACACGCCTGTTCTTACTAGCTAAGAAACACCATACTAGAATGCTTTCAACTCAGTCTTCCCATCACTCTGTACTCTCCTGACACTGGAGTACCATAGAAACATCCAGATAGAATTCCCACAGGTCAAAGATCCTTTCCAGCACCTCTGTCAGGGGATAGATATACATCTTCAGCCACCTGATGAAACCCTATGGAATCCAAAGATACACAAATTTCTATTAAATATTTAGAAGTAGCCAGCTGTTTCTTCTCAGCACTAACATGGGGAAGATGCCTGCATGTTTTCATATGAAAAGCAGAGACTTCTCTTTTTCTCTTTTGGTCTTCAATCTTGTATTTTCTTTGTCATTTTCTTTCCTTTCTCTTTTTCAGCCCTCATATACAGATACCAAGGAACAGAATACCTGGATCTATTTTACTCCCAATCTGAGAGAAAAGTGGCCTATGCCCCTACCTGGGAATACCTAACACTATGATCATACTTTAAAAAACTGCATCACTAAGTTCCTGGGGAATCCAGAAAAGACCTTTGGTTTTCATATGCTTCAGTTAAAAACAAAACAAAACAAAACAAAAAAACCTTTTTTGGCCCTTGGTACAGCAGTTTGATGACGATAGACAAACACTACGAATAAATGGACGAATCAGAAATGTTCCACACATCACTGAAATAATCCAAAACAGGTTATGACCTTTTCAGGAAGTACCATGACTTTTTCTGCAGTATGCTACCATCCTAGAAAAGGTATTTCTGCGTTACAAACATTACCGCTCTGGTTAAAGGCCAAAGGCAAAGACGATGTTATGATGCCACCCTCATTACCTAAGCCCTATGCGAGTAGATTTGATCAAAATCATCCACCGCTGTAAGCTCCCATTACAAAATCATCGCATCAAATCCTCAGGGAGCATATTTTAGCAAGCGTGTATGATCCACTCACTCCAAGAAGGGAGAAGTCACTTCTACCAAGAGAACACGCTTGAACCAAGTGGGCAGCGACCCTGCTAACCTTACTTAGAAGACGGCTTCCACTCGGCTCCCATAATGTCCCCCGCGGCTCTCCATCCCTTCAAGACGACCCCTTCTCCTGCCGCTGAGGTCCCCAAGGCCTGTTCTGCAGCTAATCTGACAATGTCCCGCACATTGGAGGCCTTGGGCTCCACCACACCCTTTTCCAACCAGATTTCTACGGTCCTACTGATAAACGTCCTCGAGCTGACAAACCAAGTTAGGCGCAAGGGCCTAACTCTTCCCCCAACTCTCAGAAAACGACAGTGCCGGGGGGGGGGGGGGGGACGTAGATCCTTGCGCACCCACTCCTTTTGCTGAGAGCGTCTGGCCCTTGCGGTGATCCCTCGGGTTCCAAGACCCCAACTAAGTGGCTCTACTGAGCCCTTCCTTCTCCTCGGTTAGGGGGTCTCTGCCGGGGCTGCTTCCTCGCCTGCAGAATTCCTGAAGGTTGGGAGGAGGCCTAAATCCTCCGCAAGGCGACCCCCGGGATAGGATCTTGAGCCGGACCCTGCCCTTCTCACTTGCCCAGGGCTCAAACTCCCACTACGGCCACGCCGCGAGCATCCTGCACCGCGGCCCCAGCTTCCGGGCTCTCTCTCCAGTTCTGCTTCCGGCCCTCAGGCTCCCCCAAGGCGGCTTGCCCCAGCCCGCGTGCCCGGGTCGCCCCCCGGCCCTCCGCGCCGCCAGCTCGCCGACTCTCACCGCTCGAAGAGCAACCTCAAGGAGAAGACGCCCGCCGCTAGCGGGAACACCGACAGGATGTGCCGGGCGCGCGGGTAGCCGTCGCCGTCGCCCGCCCCCTCCAGGTCGGCCCAGCTCACGTTCTGGGGCAGCAGAAAGCGCTGCTCCACACAAGGTCAACAGAAGGCCCAGAATATCGGCGCCGGCGTCTCACATCATACAGCGCCTCCGGAAGCGTCTGCGGCGCTCGACGACGCACGCGCCTTACTGCCGCCGCAAGCTCATATTGCCGCCAAAAGCAAAAGAAACCTCTTGAAAGGACAGCTCTCGGGGCGGTTTCGGGGCTGCGGAACAATCTCTTTCCGGCCCATTTGGGGTTCTGGGCACAGTTCAGCTCGGCTCTGGGAGGCCGGGCCTCTTCACCGCCCATTTCGCCTCCCCGCCCACCTCCCTCACAGCCAACTTCCCGGCTGCCTCTCCGAGGGACCCCGCCCTCCAAACCTGGCCACGCCCCCTCCCGGGCCTCTGACTCGGACCCAGCGAGGCCCTGGAGCCCCGCCCCGGACCCGCCCCCCGCGCAGCCCTGGCCACGCCCCCTCTCGGGAAGGACTCGGACCCAGCGCGGCCCTGGAGCCCCGACCCCGTGCAGCATTGGCCCCGCCCACCAGGGCCCGCCTCCTCTTGCTTCGAGTCTTGTTCTTCCTCGCTCGCGCTCCCGAGCACTGCCACACCCCTGGCTTCAGGCTTAGCGCCCTTATGGGGACATTCCTGTTTCTCGGCTGGCCCCGCCACTCCAGCGCGTTCCTGCTCCCAGCAGGACCGTCCACACCTGTCTCCACTCCCAGCCCCTCTCTGCCCGGACTGTCTCGCCTGCTCAGCCGGCCCCACCTCCTCACCACAAAGGTCTTTCTGCTTCCCATCTTTCCCTTCCTTTGTAACCCGCCAGCATCTCGACCTTTTTTTCACTGCGGCTTCATCCCTTAAATTTAGAAACTTTTCCTCAGGGGAAAAAAAAAAAGCAGGCTTTAAAAGAAATCCTTTTATCTTTCTCATGGGGTAAAGTATTGTGAAAAGCGAGATATTCAAAGGAAAATAGAGGCAAAAAAAAAAATAAATGGTGGCCAGTGTTTAATAATTATGTGGCAGGTATTGCACGCAGCATTTTATTTCAACCCTTTACCCTATGAAAGAGATTTTGTTATCCCCACTAATTTATGGAGGAATAAACTAGTCCAAAGAGGCCAACAGCCTGCCCAAGGTTACAGATAAGAAGTAAACAGAAAGTCTGCAGACTCTAGAACTCCGAGCTCTTATCCTATAAATTTCCTTAACTTTAGTTTCCCACAGTGAACATCGAACTCTTGCGAATCTACTTAGGAAGGGGAGCCATAGACTGCGCACGTTCAAAAGGCTGAACTAAATTGTCCCCCGCATGCCTGAGAACCCTGAACCCTGTCGGTTAAAACTTGGCCACAAGGTTAATTACCAAACATTATCTAGAATGATCTGAGAGGGGAGAAAAAATGCTTAAAAGAACTAAATCTCTCCCTCTGGTTCAAGAACAGATAAAGTAACTCTAACTACGGAGGCATACTTATGCCATTTAAAGGGTTTTAAAGGGAGAGGAAGAAAAAACAGCCCGTCCCAAGGAGTAGACTTTAGGGTTTGCTTCCTCTCGGCTTTTCAAACTTCAGCATGCATCAGCTCAAATGTTGGCTTGTCTCATATCCCACAGGGAGTTGGAGCAAAGCGTTCTGGGGCCAATCATAAAGATTCTGATTTCAAGAGGCAGGGGGTAGAGACCATGAGTTTGGTTTCTGATTTCTAACTCAGAACCACTGCTTGAAGCCATTTTCATTCAAAACCAGCAATAGCTTAAAAGTTAACTACCTTAGCAAGCGGTGGACGCTGCCGCTCACTAGGCTAATCCTCCGCCTGTGGCGCCGGCACCCCAGGTTCTAGTCCCGGTTGGGGCGCCGGATTCTGTCCAAGTTGCTCCTCTTCCAGTCCAGCTCTCTGCTGTGGCCCGGGAGGGCAGTGGAGGATGGCCCAAGTGCTTGGGCCCTGCACCCACATGGGAGACCAGGAGGAAGCACCTGGCTCCGTAGCGGCCATTTGGGGGGTGAACCAACGGAGGGAACCTTTCTCTCTCTCTGTCTATAACTCTCTAACTCTGCCTGTCAAAAAAAAAGTTAACTACCCTATATTCAAAAATACAGTTTAAACTGAAGTAAACCTCCTCTTCCTTCGCAGAATTTAAATCAGAGCCCCAAGAAACAGAATACCCCAACCTGGCATGCAGGCACCAGTGCACAGTGATCTTGGTCTATCCTCAGAAAAATGCACCTGTGTCATTCCTTATCCTTCCTCTTGGCTGTTAGGAAACATACTGCTCTGAAACACGCAATGAAAGCAGTCGATGCAGCTTTCTCTTTGGCCGAGTGATCCCACCAGCAGGTTGTTGAAAGCAATTGGCTGTGCAAAGTGTCACAATCAGTCTCTGTAAACCATCTCCAGGCCCAAGCTGGCCTCTTTTCCTGCTTCATCAATAGAAAAACTCACCTCATTCTACTGTCTACCAAGTCCAAACAAGGTTGTATTCATTTAGAGAGCTGATTGGATCTTTTATATGCCGATATAGGGGCATCTAGGTTGTTTAATGAAGAGGGATTTCTAAAGGACGTCAGCCTAGGGTAGGGGCAAGAGCACCCCAGGTAAAGAAATTAACCAACAAAAATGTCCCAGTTTCAAGTGGAGAAACTCCTTTTCCAGCACAGACATGTAGAAATTCCCCTTGCCTTTTAGGTATCATTGTGAGGTGGATTATTAAATGTTGGGCACAGTGGATTTTATATTGGTAAAGCAAACAGCTCATTTGAAACACACACACTAATTCTCTTGCCAAGCCGCTTATAATTTTTCAGAAAAAATTTTGTCTTCTTTCAGGGAGGATGAAAGCAGACGACCAGTACAACATCGCCATCTAGTGGCAACATGTATTCATAGGCCTTTTCTACCTAAAACACCCATTTGTCTTTTCTTCCCAAACTGCTAAAGTAAAATTAGATCCCAACAGACTGTAACAATGTAAAAAAAAACTTAAGAGGCACATTGAAAAGTTCAAATGTAAATTAAATTCTTTATTGAATAAAAATGTTTCAGACTAAGCAAGGCTGTAAGAAAGCAAAATATTTTACATCTCTAAAATATCAGACTAAATCTCTAGAAATGCAGTACAAAGAAGGGCCTATAGCTTGAAACACCTCTCCCTCCCGCACATAAAATTTGGAATATCGATTATGTACAGATGTACTCAAGTTGATAATGTTCCAAAGACTTAAAAAAGGTTATTTGAAAGGCAGAGAGAGAAAGAGAGAGATTGATCAATCTTCCATCTGCTGGTTACTCCTGAAATGCCTGCAACAGCTGGGACCGGGCCAGGCCAAAGCCAGGAGTCAGGAACTCCATCCAGGTTTCCCAGCACCTGAGTCATCACCTGCTGCTTCCTAGGGCACACACAGCTGAACTGGAAGTGGAGCCGGGCCTTGATGCCAGGTACCCCAACATGGGATGCGGACATCCCAAATCGGTGACCTGCCCCAGTGTTCCAAAGCCTTAATACTAGAGAAAATCATCCCAAGAAAAAGGCCAATCATTGGTTTATTATCATCCTGGGAATATTATCTACCATAAAAACCAATATATTTCAGAGCTGATAAGTATTTAAAAATCAGTCCTCAGAAAGAAGACATCACAAGTAGAACAAGTTTAAGGCGGTTCTTTCTGTATCTCCTCCATTAAGTTCCGCACTGTGCTCTAACATGGAGTGTGGTGGATAATGACATTGTAGCCTCAGTAAAGCATGAAAGAGACCACCAGAAAACAAGTCGGTCTCTTGGGGTCAAACTCATTGGCAAAACCACTGCGGGTGTGGGGGACAAGAGATCTCGCCAAGGACCAAGGCATGCTGGTAGGTTCTCTACTTGCCTCAAAAAGCTGTTCTGAAAAGATGGCTGTATTACATCGGAACAAGGATGGAGTCTAAGAGAGCAAACCAAAATCAATTCCCCATACATCTGAGAGTAAGAAAATTCACCTAAAACTTTTTTAAGAAGACTAAATAAATGATCCCTTAACAGCTGAATCCTAAAAAATTGAAGTGGTATTCCTTTGAAAATATACAAATGTGTGCTTTGTACTAAAGTGCATCCAGTCATAATGTTTAGGTCTCTAAGTCCCTTCTGTGTGTTCTCTCATTCCATAGTAGTATTTGCAGTCTAACAATGCACGGCTCATCATCTGTTTAATATTGCCTTTTGGGAAATACAGTGGGATCTGGACTACATCACTGGATCAGCTAGATGTTTCCCTGTTAGAAGACTTTACAGCACTTCTGTGTATCAGCACTGCTAATGTGCAGAATTTAAGGAATGCTGTCACCAGCATTTAGAATGGGTTCACTGAAGCTGCTGTATGGGGCTCTTTTGGTGGTCGAAGCTCTCTTCCAAAGTTGCGTCCATGTAAATTAAGACACCTGCTTATGGGCATCACTTGGATAAAGGGCAGTGGCTCACTAACATTCATTTAAGGCCCAGCGCGGTTGCGAATTCATCATTCCTCATCCTCATCCTCATCGTAGTACCGATTTCTCTTGATCTGTTCTTCCACAGACAGCTCTTTGACCACTTCTCCCTCCCAGAATCCCACATCCTGGGATTTCTGGTTCTGAGCAGTGAATTCTTCAGTGGAGGTGTTGTCTACAAAGCTGGACCAACTGGGAGACTTAGGTTCCAGTGGAGACTGCTGCTTCGTGTGGTTATCATCTTCATCTAAATTTGCACCATTTTCTAGAAGGTTCTCATCCTCCCCCTCAAGACCATGCATCTCCTCGCTTCTCCTCCCCACCACCCCTCCTTTAGATTCCTTGTGCTGCCAGCTTGTCTTCCCCACACCCCCATTCTTCTGGGAGGCCTTAGTATTTTCCACTTGTTTCCTTTCTGCTATTGCTCCTCCCGCATACTCCTCACTCTGCTCGGACATGCTCCAGCCTTTCCTGACAGGTGAGGACAAAGCTTTCGGGCTCTTGACAGAGCTGGTTCTAAACGAAGCCGCGACAGTGAAGGGGCGGCTCCTCTCCTTCAGGGAAGAAGACCGCCGTAGCTTCTTCAGATCCAGGTCTATGTCCTCGGGAGCTTCAGGCTTGCCGATTTCATCCTCAGGAGGCCACTTGGGCTTGGACACTTTGATCCCTTCCTCCAAGGCACTGCCTGAACTGCCAAGTTCGGTTGGGGGTGGCCAGGCGATCCTCAGCTTCTTGGTTTCCGCTGGCTTATCTTCCCTCTCCCGCAGAGGGGAGGCCTTGGCTTCCATACTTGCAGCCAGCACGCCCACCTTAGCGATGGGGGCATCTTCTACCCCTGGGCTCTGAAG